AGTATTATAAACATGGCGTAGGACACTGTAACTATTTCTTTCGGTGACAATCTATTATTTTGTTGGTTAACTTGATTAATTTCTTTGATGAGTCATTTACTTTACTAAATATTTTAAGGGAATAAAAAATTGTGAGTAATTCCAGTTTGCTAGCAACTGTACTTCCTAAAATCATGAATAAATCATCAAATGAATCCAACACATCTTTAATTTGGAGTTTTATGCAGCAATGGAAAACTTTTTTAAGCCACACAATTCGCATAACTTTCAATTAAATGGCAATGACATTCAACCACACGCAAAAATATGCTATTTGCTATACAGTATTTTCAAGGCCGAATTGTATTCTTCAACACTATTGCTTTTCGTGCAAAATGTCTTCCGAAGCTGGATTAAATAATATCCGGAGGAGAAAACCTATTCAAATATTTTCTGCAAGTCTCTCCAAAATAACTTGTTATTAGATGTACGGTTATATTCACAGTAAATTTTCCTGTATAGAAATAAAAATTTTGCAATCAGGTTATTTCCTAACCCACGAAGAGCTGTTTATTTTTTTTTTAAAGTACCCTGTATAACATTAAAGAAAGCAAGAACAAAATCCTCCTGCCAAAAAAAAAAAGAGCTAAATTATTCACGTTCCCCCTTATATATACTGTTCATCGCGGAAGCAGTTACGACGCGGAGGATATAAAACGGCGGAAGAGGCGCCTGCAATAAACGGCGGCACGAGGACTCGACGCTGTCGCTTTGACACTGACGCGTGGCTCATCATCGTCGTTGACCTGACGCGTTGGGCAGCACCTGTCGACGACGTCACGTGCCACTGTTTCTGCGGTAATTTTCCCGTGTGTGTGTTATGCACCAGTGTTTGCTGAACTCATTTGCTCGCCACTTATTTTAGCGTTGCTGTGGTTTTTTCCGCGCGATTAAACATAGAATTGGCCGAGTATTTGTGTATTTACTCGGATATAATACGCACCAATTGGCGACCGAAATTGGCTCAAAAATTCATGGACGCGTCTGATATTTGGCAAAGTCTTGAATTTAGACGCATTTTTGTTTCGCGGGTGGTGAACACGCTATTTTCTGTTTTTCGGAAATTTAAAAAATATATTATCCTCATCTGCCAGTCTCAGTTCTTTCATTCAATATGTATAATCCTGATTTTCGTTGAAAGTGGTTGAAAAATTTGAAATGATATCTGAAGTAGAATTAAATTTCAACGAAATTTATCGATTCGGCCAAAATGTCATGCGACGGAAGCGCATCTTATTTTGGGGGAAAAAATGATTTTCTTCAATTTTTAATCTTTAAAAAGATCGCTTCACTCTTTGTCATAAATTTCATCTCATTTTCAAGTATATGTTTATGGAATTTTTACCTTCGCAGTGTGATTGCTTGATGACCTTCCACTACAAATGACCTATAATGACTTCAGCCCACTTTAGCCCAGCCTAAATTGGCCCAATGACTGCTTCATTCTTTGAAATTTCCTTGAACGACGAGGCGTAAAAATGAGACGTTTCCATGTTTCCAAGCACTTTTATTTATGCAAACCGATCATTGACTTCGTCACAAACGAACACGTAAGAATTACGTTTCCTCCTTCGTCATCTTCGCGGGACTAGAGAGATAAACAAATCCGGAATGGTCAAATCGTCATCAATAATACCCAGCATCATCCTTTGATATCAGACTTTTGGCAGTTTGAAAGGAAAAAAACAAAAACAAAAATTCAATGCCATCCGACGGGTAACCATTTTCTCCACACACACGCGGGAATGAATAAATAAAGACTTGAATTAACCCCGTGTTATGACTCAAATGACGAGGACTGGTTGCCATCGTCTTCTTCTTCTTCTTCATCTTCTTCTTCTTCTTCTTCCTCGTCTTCATCGTCATCATCCTCTTCTTCTTCTTCTTCCTCTTCCTCTTCTGCTCCTTCAATTGCGTCGTTGCTGCTGCCATTTCCGCTGCTGCATTCCCCGGAAGGAGAATACGTCATTTGTTGCAATTGTGAAGATGCTGCGGGTTCCGTTGGGATACTGAGCCGAGTTGGGTCTTCTGGGTGCCACACTTTGGCCACTAGCCGGGTTCTATGTCCGCTGTTTTCCTTGTCACTTTGCCAAGACAAGGAATGACCACCGAAAGCGCCGCATTGTCCTATTGACCACACGTGGAATGGAAAGAGTAGCAATGTAAAATTTAAAAAATATAAGCATCAGGTATATTCATTGATTGTGGGAAGATGAATCGGAATGTTGTTCCGAGCTGAATAATGAAGAGGTAATATGTAAATCTCCGTTCACGCAAAAAAAAACTGGCCTTGATGACGAGTGAAGAGTGGTTTTCCAGGGGTGGGAATGTGAAATCATTGTGGTATGAAATCTTTGGAGGCATAATGTCAATTGATGGAAAAATCAGAAGGAGTTTGTTGATGGGTTATACATACAAAATACTAACTTTTTAAAGTTGTTCTTTGTGTATTTAATGAAGAAGTACAGTACGGTATACTTTTCCAGTTCCAAATGTCAACATTAAAGGCTGAATTTTGGAACATGGTTTATATTTTGAGAGGCGTGTAAAATTCTCACACTAATGCGCATATTATTTTTCTGCAGAAATTCGTTGTTGTGGCGGAATAATTTGGTACGTTAAAAGTACCACAAATCTACGCGCGCCGTACGGTAAAATTGTCTGAGGAAAAGCCATGACTAATCCGGAATATTCCAGAATTTTCTCACCTTTTCTACAGCCAATCTAGGATTGACCTATGATTATTGGAAGAGTGTGAGGGAGAAAATGAAAAACTGCCGCCATGTCATTGAATCCCTCAAACAGTGCTGCGCGAGATTTCATCGAAGCAAGTGGTGCAATTTTGTGAAAAGGTCCGTTTTTTGTGTTTTGGGGTTAATTTTGAAATACAGTTTTCATATTTTTCTTTCGGATCTCATAAAAGAGATCCCCAGCTGAACCCCACAGCTGATTTCATGTTTTATTTTCGAATTCCTCCTCCTTTTGTGAAACTTGGGTCACAGTTGTCCATGGCAACGATTTTAAGGTTGGAAATTTTATCCGCGTCTCTTTAAATTATTTTTGCTTTGAAGTTATGCTTTTTTTTTAAGATTATTTATATAGAAGCAGGGCCCAATTTCTTCGTTTCGCATAAGGTATACTGACCTCGGTGGCACTGGATGATGACCTTCTTGACCGGTTCTTGGTGGGTCGGATTGGCTTCGGGCGGATACCTGTCATTCTCCACCAGTTCCGCTAAAAAGTTGATGTAGCCAATGGCGAGTTTGAGCGTGTCCACTTTGCTCAGGCGTTTCTCGTACGGCAATGTAGGAATGTGGTCTTTCAGCCCTTTAAATGCGTCGTTGATGCTGAGCATCCGCTTCCGCTCCCGGATGTTGGCCGCCTGCCGCTGGTGAACAGCTTGCTGGGCGAACCGCTTCTTCTTCCGTTTCCGGGTCATTATCGGTACTGGGGGTATATAAGGGAAGAACAGTTGGGATGATTCACTGCAGCAAGGGTAACTCCTTCTTTTAAAAGAATTTCCGATAATTCGTTCTTTGTTGGAGACATTTCATTTTTTTTAAGAGTCGTTTTCTCAAGTTTCAGCGCGGGGAGTTAAATAATTGCATGATGAAAGAATAACTCGGAGTTCTGTAACAGCACATCAAAAGTCTGTTCACATTTCAGTTTTATCCACTTTTCTGCACGAAATTACGAGGAAACTTGCACAGAATCAAGAGTAGAGCACGTGACAATTTTGAAAATTGAATGTTATCGTATACTGTAATCAAAATTTGCTAAAAACCGTTGAAAAATTTGTGAATTTGAATCCTAAATTTCTTGGTCGGTGAACCACTTCTTACTCAGTTTCCGGTTCATTACTCATCAGTGACAGTGGATGGAAGAACAGTTTGGAAAATTCATTACCGCGGTGCTTTCAAAATAAAAAATAATTTCCAACAGGTTTTTTTTTTTCGTTTCGTGAGACCTTACCTTGTTGTATCGGACTCGGTTACTTGAACAAGAATTATATACAATAGTGCGTGAAACGACACAGTCCTCTAACACTGAGTCACAAGTTTATTAACTGAACATAGTTCCAGCCGCACTTTGCAATTATCACTGCAAGAATGTCTGAAAGTAAACCACACATAATCGAGAGCTGTGCGAATAAAAATCACTTTGGCGAAAGGGAAAAGCAACACAAAGAGTTTGGCAATAATTTCGTTCACGATGATTCGAGACCAGAATTGTTTTCCTACTCCCGTTTTTTTGAATAGTTTTAGAACTGGGCTGTGGAAAAGGTGGAGCACCAAAATTTATTTTACAATGGCAATACAATTTCAAGATGACCAACGAATTTCAGGAAGATTTTTGCCGTGTCTCGTATGGACATTAGCTTCGAAATCTTTTTGATTATCAGTTACTGTACTACAGATAATTCGAGAGAGAATTTGGTGTCTTTGGGAAGCAGGAAATTTGCTCGAAAGTCAAGCATTTTCTTTTAGTTCATATGTCATTATTAGGAAATGTACTAAGATTGGCCCGCGTGAGTAGTTATTTTCACTTGCAAGTGGCAAACTTTTTTCTGCTAATTTTTCGATGCGATGTAAGATTGAAGCATTCTTGAACTAGAGTTATTATAGAGCAACTATTCCAAGTATAAGTCTCAGAATCCACTTACTGCATTAGTACAGCTGTTAGTGCTTAAAACATCCTGTCCTCCAAGGAAAATGTCGACTGCTTGTTTCATACGTCGCGAAGAAAGAATCTTTTTAAAATTCCTTTTTTGAAAGCACGAAATAATAAATACAGTATATCCATATGAGAAATTTTTTAGCGATCTTTATCTACAAATCAGATCTTTTCTCAACTTGCTGGTGCTACAGAAAATCCACATAAAAGACATTTTCTCCCTCTGCGAGAGGAGATGAATAGAGTTATTAATGTGAAGTACTGAAATGACGCCTTATAACAACTCTCACTATATAGCAACGATCTCCTTGTATTGTATTTTCCCCCTTTAATCAAGATGTGTGATGAAGCTTGCAATACTGAATTGTGTTTATCTCATTTCATTAAATGAAAAGCATTAAAATGTCAATCTGCAGGGCCAGGATAAAATTGACCATCAGGAATCGCTCATTTTTGCAGCGCCGAAAAGATTCCTACAGTGGAATCGAATGTAGCAAAATAAACTAGGATGGTTGTTGTTTTACATTACTGCTCAAAAACAAAATAGAGAGAAACAAAAAAGGATCCTCCGTCGATAAAAAAAATTCGGAACTCTAGGGAGATGAGTTTCGTCAGGGCTCATCTAAATACACCATCAATAAGAGAAAACTCCAGTAAAAATACAGAAAAGAACGCATCAACAGAATTTGCTCTTAAATACCCCATGAAGTATCTGTGTTGAAAATCTAAATTTCGAATTTATTTGAGTTCTCACGCAAACATGGATGTCATCTTAACTGTGTGTATAGGCGTTTCTACATACAAAATCACAGGGGTTTTGAATCGTAATAGAACAATAGGTTATATAAGTTATTATTAGAATATTTGGATGCGCTGTCAAACGTAGAAATGTCCACAAAGAAACAATAATTCAATTACTGGTTTATGTTTAGAAGACGTGTCTTCGAATGTAGACAAAATTAATGCTTTAAAATTTAAACCCAGTTTGGGCGGAGAATTTACTAATTACCACTGCTCATACAAGCAGGAAAAATGCAGACAAGAAGACATCGACAGAATTTACTCTTATATATGCCCCATGAAATACTCTGCGTTGAAAATCTAAATTTCACATTGAATCGAGTTCTCACACAAACATGGATGTCATCGTAATTTACTCACAATTCGTCAGCTGGGTTTGCCCATTAACCAAGGGTTTATTGCCGAGTATCGTCATTTGCTGCATCGTCGTCGTCTGTGTCTGCGGCGGCGGCCCGAGTGGCGCCGACAACGACGTGTACGTTTGTGGTGCCGCTGCTGGCATCACTGGACTGTAGTAACACTGCGGGTCAATGTAGTCCATGGCATGGTACTCCACGAACTGTCGGTTGATGGTGTCCAAGTCGTAGCAAGTTTGTGCCAACTCGGCGTGATGATGACCCGTGTACATCTTGGAATCGACTTGAAAACTCCACGAGAAACAGACACACAATTGTATTTCGAAATCACTCGGTTATCGCCGGACTAGAGCATTGATATGGCGGAATTCACTGTGGTTGCCACGACCGATTTCTCGACACTGAATTTATGATAATTCGCGTTTTTGAAACATTTTACAATAAGCCATACACATGTGACTAGAAACACTCTGGTATTTTGATATGCACCTGTTGAGAAATGTTTAGCAGACATGCTCATGAAATGGGTGATTGACAAAATAAATCGTGAACGAACCGTCAAGCCTCACATTTAAGAGATGGTAAACACATAAAAAATTCCATTGTTGATCTCAATTTTTCACGAAAAACTTGATTCGATTGTGTGGTTCGAGTGTGAGTTGAAAACCTTGAATGTTTCGTTCTCCAATAGACACAAATATGTCAATTAGAAAATTCTTTAGCTGGGATGACGGTGACAAATGGATTGAGAAATCAAACTAAAAACACTGTAACACGGAAAATTAGGAAAAAGAATTCCAGGGTTCTATGGAAACTCGAAACTTTCTGAGTTAGCCGAACTTGATTTTCATGCATTTCAATGTTGAAATGTACCACAACTTTAATTTTATTCTGTTTCCGTATACTGTACTAGTACAGTATACTTTCACAGAAAATTCTAGGGTATTTTGTGGTCAACTATGACGGTTCAGAAAATTCCCTGAATTTTAAAAAATGTATCACTATATTGCTACAGAAACACAATTCAGTAAAAAAGTTTCTTTAGAACAAAAAGTTCACGTCATCATGCGGATATGGTCGGAATTTCCGCATGACATGAATCTGGTGGTTGATTGCGAAAAAAAAAAAACATGAGCTTATTGCATTTAGAATGAAAACAAACGGCTCTGACTGTAAACGAATTTTTTTTTCGGCTAAATTTAAAGCCCCAGGACTCTACAGCATATTTTCTCAAAACTTTACCTCAAAAAATGCATCCTTTCACACAAGAACGGCGGACGTGAAAAATCTTCGTCATCAAATTAGAAAACATTGAGGTCTTCAAGCACCACCCCACGTTGATTGAAATTAAAAATAATAATAATGCCACTTTTTTTTTTCGAGGACACGCCACTTCACGGAATGATTATTCCCGGTCGATCCCCTGGGAACAACTGTCTGAATTCACAACGGACTGCCTACTCGGGCAACCGCGTCTGCAGAACGGCGGTGGCTCCGCCCTCTTTGGATGGATCATCCAGTGAAAGCAGACTTCGGAAAAGTGCTTTCCCTGTAGTGACCGGAAGCCCGTCGTTGTGGGCGGGCTTATAGTCCGCCAAAGGCACTTTCTTGAAAATAAATAAACAAATCCATAATTATTCTGGTAGGCATAAAGCGCGTGTCTTTAATCAAGAATTCCACTGGGCATTATATCATCGTGAAAATCTTGTTTCAACTTGTAACTGCTTCGAAAAAAATTCTGCTCAATAGCCACAATCATATTTGTACAGTAAAATGTTACAAAAAAAAGCTGCACTAGGGCTCACATAAAGCCTTAATTCGTTGTAATGATAAATTCGATATACAGCGCTTTGAATCAAATTTTCGCTATAGAGCATGGATTTGGAAAACAAATCCCTTGTAACAAGATACAGTACTGTACTTCAAAAAAATTCTGTTCTTTTTCTTCGGGCTCAGTAGCCGCAGTCATATGTGTACAGCAAAATGCTGTTACAAAAAAAGCTGTTGGGGCTAAGATAAAACCTTCGTTTTGTAAGGATGAATTCGATATATAGTACAGCGATTTGAATCACATTTTCGCTATGGCGGAGTATGGATATGAAAAACAAATCCGTTGTAACAAAAAGATACTGCTGCACTTCTGAATTTCTTTTTACTGTGCTTGCATTTCCAATCGGGAACTTCCGAAGAAATAATAATCGAAAGCCATTTTATGTTTAGGAATACTGATGTACCACCAAACGGCAAAAAGAATCAGGAATAAATTTGGATTACCAAGGGAACTGCTTATGAGTTGGTACTCGATGCTTCTTCTGTAGTTGGACCATGACATTTTCTTCTCAGCAATGCCGGGTTCGGATAAAGGTTATATAGAGACACGTTCCACATTTTTAGATAAGAAATAGACCCACGTTACTGGTCGGAAGCACTTTACCATCAAAGCAGCTTCCTCGTCAGCACATAACAACGATCTATTGTCCTCAGCAGCGCGTGGATCAACAACCAGGTGTGAACAGCTGCCTGTAATTCCTGTCGCCTCTCCTCACACGCATTCCCTGTTTGCTTCATTCACTTATGCATTCATTCATTCATTCATTCATCCTCTGGCTCACCATGTCACATAATGTGTGACAAAAGGAGAAGAGAAGGGGAGAAACGAGCAACGAATGCGTTTGATTTCCTTCACGCTTCACGCCGTATTTGACTTGAGCGTTTTGCGATTAGTTTCGGGGGCAAGGAAGATCCCCTTATGTTGCATATGAGATCCTAGAAACAATGCTGAAAGAAGAAAATACCCTTGTTTACTGAAAATATTCGCTTTTCCGTGTCGTCAACAGATTTAATTTCAGCGACATCGGTTTAATGTCCTGCTGCTTCCCTCGTCCTCTTCTCTCAAAATCGTTCGCAAGCTTGTTCTGTTTGATTTCACAAATTTCAGATTTCGTGAAAATTAAGTTTATTTCAGGTCCGTGGAAGAAATAGTTTGAACATTTCGTATGTGCTGACTTGATCCACAAAAAAAAGCTTTTTTTAAAGGTATGTGAAAAAGCTTCTGCAGCACTTGATAAGCCACTTTTACCAAAAAAAGTTTAATCCTTGATTTATAATGAACAATGCTCACGAGGTTTTCAGAGAATTTTAGTATAAAAACAGCTTCAAGAGGATGCCTTTTTTCGTGATACAGTATAAGTAACGAGATTTTATCGAAAAGAAAAACTTAATTCGAAAATTCCCTGAAAATCCACGTTTTAGCGCATTTTTTTTTTTGTTCCCGACTAAGCGATCGAGCCTAAAGTAAACGGCTTAGTTACCTACTTTATAAATGGAGTTAGAAGCTCCTTTTCGCAAATAAGTAGGTATTTGTTTGAAGGTACGTATTTTAGCTCGATGCTTTCAATTACATCTCCGTCAAATCCTCCCGAACGTGACACGATTTCATATATTGCAGTGCATCCCGAAATCTTGATCAAATATTTTCTGAAATGCCTTTACAGATATATCCGTAGCTTTGGTCTCAACCTGTCTGTGAACTTAACAAACGGTAATGAGTTCCTCTGTGTGAAACAAGTGCACAGCGTACTTTTGTCCCCTTTTGCACTGCGCTATTTGCGGACCAAGATCAGTATTACATTCGACACGTGTCGACACCAACGTCGCGTCACTGGCAACCCTGACTGTGATACTTTTCCCGCTTTTCTCTCGTGCCACGTTTTGTCAACAATTGAATGGACACGTGTGAGCCATTAATATGTTATGAAACCTGTCACTGGGTCACACATGGGTTTTGTTATAGATAAGGACATAATCCAAGCAACTTACACAGACTTGGAGGCATCCGCGAGGGTTTGTGTGTCGTTCGATATAATCATCCAAACTATTAAAAACCTCTAAGAAACACCCAGAAAACACAAAAAAACTTGTGTGATGTCACGCGATGATTTTTATTCTTTCTCAATTTAGTCTGCTTTTTTCACCAGTATCAAATTATGAAGGGATTTGGATAAATTGAGACAGACAATTCAAGACTGGACAAATGGAGGCAGAAAATTTGAGACTGGGAAAATTCCAGACTCAACAAATGGAGGCAGAAAATTTGAGACTGGGACAATTTGAGAGAAAGAAAATTTGAGACTGGGACAATTTGAGACAGGGACAAAGTGAGACAGGCCCAATAAAGCAACTGCAGATTCCTGTTGAATCGCTAAACATGAAACTAATTTGGAGAGTAACATATTACATAATTCACAAGGTGCTCTTTCTTGTGATTTTTTAAATTCAGTAAATGCCTTTTGTAGACTGAAATTTGTGTCATGCACTGTCTGCAATTTGATGAGTCAGTGTCCACATGTTGGGCCTTTCTTTCTATTTTTTTCTGGACAAATAAGAGTCTCTATGTTAAATTGCCTTATGTAAAACAAAATTAGCAGAACTTTTCACCGAACAGTGCAATTTTTGTTCATTTTCACACTTTGGACATAAAATATCAGGGTGAAACACAGTCAAGTCATTTTGCCTCAAACAGTCTCTGTCTCAAATAAATTTCTTAAATTCTCAAAATATATATCTCTCAATTGTTCCATGTCCGGAAAAGTTTCAGTCTTGATTAGTCCCTGTCTCAAAATGTTTCTGTCTCAAATTGCCTCAGCCTTAAAAAGTATCTGTCTCACTTTGGCCTTGTCCCAAATTGTCTGTCTTGATTTTTCCTAGATCCAATTATGAATAGGTTAAAAAATATATAATCCTTCACATAGAATGAAAAATAATTTGACATTTTAGACAAATATGTTTTAACGACTGACACTTTTTCTTGAAATCACGGCGGAAGCACAAAAAATCTTTCCGTTAAAATTCTGAAAAGGGCGTCTAGGAAGTGAAAACAGCAATAAAAATAATCTGGCCTCTCGCTTTTTAAAAGCCACTCTACTATTGTAAATATTGCTCCAAAATTTTCCCAATTCTTTGGAAAACAACTGTCGTAATTTGAAAGAACGTATCAGCACAAAATATTTCAAATCTTATTTTCGTACACCGTCGGTAACCCAAGCCTCACAACTTTTTCGCTTCTCTGATCTTGAATATCCTCATCGGCTTTGAATATGCAGAAGTTTTTGCACTGCAGCTGCCGATTGGCAACTGTTGTGCAAAGACAGGGAAGGTGTTATGCATGGAATGAAAGGGGTGTGTGCTGCAAATAATCTTCTGTCAATGTGCTGACGAATAAGTTGTAAGAGTATATGAGGCTTTAAATGCTCAGTTGGGCGGAAATTAATCT